ACAATCTGTCAGCATCAGTCAGTGATCTGTCACACAGTCCTTGTTCTATCTGCCACAAACATGACACAGTGCTTCACATAGACAATAATGGCAGTACAATCTATCTATCTATCTATCTATCTATCTATCTATCTATCTATCTATCTATCTATCTATCTATCTATCTATCTATCTCTCTATCTCTCTATCTCTCTATCTCTCTATCTCTCTATCTATCTATCTATCTAATCTATCTATCTATCTATCTATCTATCTATCTATCTATCTCTCTATCTCTCTATCTATCTATCTAAAATAAAAATGTTAACAATAAGATATTGTGTATTGAAATACACATGACCGAGGCCTTTTCCATATATTCAGACTGACCAGCATTTGTCAAAGGCAGATATTTGTTTTATCAGCATACAGGATTATTAAAGTGTAACTAAAGGCAAAACCTTTTTTTTATATTTTGGATAGAATAGAGAGAGATTAGAACATTTGTCAATTTTTATTGCTGTCTGTGCCCCTGTTAAAGCGATTCACCCTCTCTACCTTTCATGTTTACCACTGAAAGTAAAAGAAAATCACAAATTTTGGGTTGACACCAGAACAGTATTAGAGGGTAAATCTTCCAATGTGGACACTAGTTCTGGTGATCCTAATTTCCTAATTGTGGAGGTATTTCCTATTTTGGCTATGGGACAGGAAATAAAGGGAAATCTCCCCTATGAGACACAGATGGCAAAAATGGCTTTTAGTTCTACGTTAAAGGATCATTGTGATTTTTTTTACCTTTAACACTCTAATAGTAATACCTGTAATATATACTGTATTTATACAAATTTTATTTTTATGGGGTGGGGGACTGAGCCTTTATGGTACAAATGTCCTGAATAAAAAAATCCTACAGGTGCCCAATCCGTAGGCATTTGGAACTTCCTGTGCTGCCCTCTATGGCCCTGCAGACAGTGGTCTGTTTTGGTGTTTAATCAAGCTGGTAAAAGATATTCTTTAGAATGACGTCTTGTAATTTGGTCTATCTCTTACACAATGTCTTATTTTTTTTAAAGAGTAAAGATTTACTCATTTCATTGACATGAGGCGCAGGAGCGCATACATTAATATTTTAACACATTGTATAGTCAGACCTTCTTGTAAGAAGAACAATGACCAAGAAAAAAAAACATCCATATGAGTGCGTCCATTGCATACTCTAAGTCTCTTAAGAAGTACTATATGTTGTTTGGCAGAAGATTTATTAAGTGGACTTGAGACCACATGGGGATTGAATCTCGTTTGAGATTGTTAAGCAACCTTGGAAGAAGATCCTAGTATGATTGCATGGTGCTGCCTTACAGAAACAGAAGACGAGAGGGAATAGTAGATAAGCAAAAGGAAGGAAAAGCAAGAGAGAAAGAGCCAGCTGTGGTTAGGGGGAAGGCAGGGGTTGAGGCGGAAGGGTGTGGAGGCAAGCCTCCAAACACTTAGGTTTGTATCTGGCATTTATGGAATAATGGTTCTGAATCATGATGAACTCAAGAAAATGATCCATACAGTCCCCGTGGCCACATATGTGGGGTACCTGTCATGGTGTTGGGGTACAAATTCCTTGTGGTGCTGAAGGAGGGTCAGTTCAGTGCACTAAGCTGTCATTGTGAGAGTAGATGTTCATTTCCAATGTCTCAGAAACATATTCCTGGCTGCAACTGGAAAGAAGTGTAGTAGGCCTTTCTTGGCTGTAGATATGGAGCCAGGAAACATGGAGTGTAATACAATAGAAGTGGACACAGGCATGTACATACCCATTACCATGTCATAGACATGAAAAATGTGGGACCAGAAGTCATGGATCGGTGGGCATGACCACCATATGCATCTTTAGTTCCTGACAACTTTCTGTAGCATTACATTCACTGAATATTATGTGTGGTCCTTTGGAGATCCTAGGGGCCACACCTGAGGCCCCCTATATCAAGTAAGTTGACCAATACTGGTCTATGCCAATAGTCTAGGTGTGCTTCCAGACCATTCGAAATTAATAGCCTGCCTTAATGCAATGCACCTCAACACAAAAAAATGCATACGTTAACATGAATACATTAATACAATGAATAGTGTGAATGGGCCCAAATACAACAACCTCTTCTTTTCAGTAGTTCAAGCTGTGCTGCAGTCAGGAAGATGTAGTAGATGGGGTGGACAGAAACAAAATTTCTTGGGGTGTCCGTTATTAGACCATGCAGTAACTTTTTACCTATGTGAAGGAACATTGTTATATATACAGTATATCGACTTCACTGTGCCCTTGTTTTAAAAAAATGCCTGAATGAAACTTCTGCTTGTGTTTTATATGGCGAAGGATACATATATAACGGACTGTGTTCTTGATTTATGCTGTTTTAGGCCATAATGCAGCTTCCAAGTTACTTTGCCATATACAGAGATTTATTCCGGAATTAAAGAGAATTAATTAAATCCTCAGATAATAAGAAATTTTGTCTTTTGTAACCAGAGAGCGCTAAAACACAGGCTTATTGTGGTACAAACACAGGAGGAATTGTTCACATTAAGCTGCTTGTAGTCTGTCAAAAGGAAATTATTGGGTTGGTTCTGCCCCTTGTGTTCACCACTGGAAGCTTGCTACATCCCAAAGCCTGAGATTCAGCTTCTTACTGTAAGGGTCTCTAAGGCAGCTATTGAAGAATCACAGATCCCAGCATACCCTCCAGGCCAGGAGGAGAACACTGAAGTGGAAAAGTCCTTTCCCGATCTGCATACTTGAAACAGTCATTGCAGAGTGTCACACTTATCCATTTGAATATTTAATTTATATTGCACAGACTAAAACAGGAGAGGGGAAATTGGGAACAATGTTTTAAAGGTATGGTAAAGTGACAATCTGGGGTCTACAGAACAGAGCTGAGAGTTCTGGTAGGGAGATCTTACTGCTGGAATTACACATTTTTTGGAAGCAACCAGTCATCTAGGACAACAGAATCTGTTCATAAATATCTGTATTAAATGTATTTACACTTTTAATGAGGGTGGCTTCTGTAGTGAACTAGGCAGTATTTTCATTTTTCAGGTTGTAGTGATCTCCTGCCCCTTGGTTCTGGCTCCATCTAGAAAAGCAGAACAGCAGTGCAGGAGAGTGTGACCAGGTAAGTAGATACTGAACACCAATATAAACATATAACTGTAGGATATTTAGGATATGGAGCTATATTATACATACTCCCATTCAGGGGCAGACTGACAACTCATGGGGCCCCCGGGCAATAGGGGATCATGGGGCCCCTGTGTCCTTGCCCAAACTCAAAAAAGCCTATGAAAAAGGTACCAGGGGCATCTCATGAGGCCCCCTACTGACCCCGGGCCCTCGGGCAGAGCCCGAGTTTTCAAATGGTCAGTCCGCCCCTGCTCCCATTGACAGCAATGTTAAGGGGCATTTTTTACTCCAGCTGACAGCAACTTTATGCACCTTATTTTACTCCGACTGACAGCAACTATATTTGGGGCTTTTTTTACTCCCACTGACCCCAATGATGGGGCTCATTTTATTCCTCCGACACCAATAATGGGGCTTATTTTATTCCTCTGACACCAAAGATGGGGCTTATTTTATTCCTCTGACACCAAAGATGGGGCTTATTTTAACCATCTGATACGAATGATAGAGCTTTTTTTTCTCCCACTGATACCAACAATGGGGGATGAGATAAATAAAAGAGCAGTATGCAAGTGAGCAGTGGGGCCTGTGAGGATCACACTTCCTGGAAAGGGGTTATCCCTATTATATATATGTCTTTTCTAATTTTTAATTACAATACATGTGGTTTTTTGACAATTTCCCCCCCTGGGCTTTTCCAGCTATGCACAGGTTTTGGATAGGTATAGCAGAGGGGTCAATTTAGATGTAGATGTGCTCGACTTGTAGATACAAATGTGGCCAGAGATGTTGGATTCCTATTGCCCGAAGCCCGGGACATGTAGTTCAGGGCACCGGGCAGGTAGTTTTTTCCTCCTTTAGCCCTGCTGCGGGTAAGCAGCGGGCTTACCTGTCAGGGGAAGCAATCGGCGGCAGCGCTGCCACCGACTGCTTTCACACAGTGATTTCCCGGGCTCCGCTTGCCCATCTGCGGGCACAGCTCACCGTCGGCTAGAGGGGAAGCACCTTGTGCTTGTAACGTCGCTTACGGGTCCCCGATGAGAGATTGCAATACAATCCCCAGGAAAGAATGTAATATGGTGCAATGTGTATCTGTCAGGGCTCCCAGGTATGACCAGAGGTGTGTGACTGAAGCAGGGAAACGCGCAGACTTCAGATATGTGATTAACAATGTAATTTATTAACACTAACAATACAAACATAAACGCAGTGCAATACTAAACATAATACAGTGCAAACAAACCCAACCAACCACCCACAGATAACAGTACATACAAGCAAGCGTCGTCAGGCAGGCCGAGTCAATATCAATTGGGCAGGTAGGTACAGGGGGAGCAAGCGGAGAATGGTCGGGGTCACAGGCCAGGTTCAGCAGGTAGCAAGCAGCGTAGTACAGAGGGTCAGGCAGAGGGATGGTCAGGGTCACAAGCCAGGGATCAGAACAGGTAGCAAGCAGCGTAGTACAGAGGGTCAGGCAGAGGGATGGTCAGGGTCACAAGCCAGGGATCAGAACAGGTAGCAAAGGAACAGAAACAGGATGCAGGACAGATACAGGGCCCAGGACAAACACAACACCAAGGCAGAGTCTGCAAGTCTGGCCATCCCTTAAATACACCAGTATCATCAGTTCCAGGTGTTAGCTGGCTGAAAAGGTTGAGTCTCTGATTGCTGGGAGCACCCGCTGGCCAGCCCTGGTACTGCAGATCAAAAGGCAGGTGAGTCCCACCATTGCTGGCCAGTCCATTCCTGACAGTACCCCCCCCCTCAAGGAGCGGCCTCAGGACGCTCCAAACAGTCCTAGCTGGGAAAAATGTTCCACCGCCCGGGTCTGGTAACTGGCGGGATATCAAAGACTGGCACACCGGGCAGGACTCCGGGCAGCGGTACACCGGGCAGAGGCACATCGGGCTGGACTCCGGGCAGAGGCACACCGGGCAGAGCCACACCGGGCAGAGGCACATCGGGCTGGGCTCCGGGCAGAGGCACATCGGGCTGGACTCCGGGCAGAGGCACATCGGGCTGGACTCCGGGCAGAGGCACATCGGGCTGGACTCCGGGCAGAGGCACATCGGGCTGGACTCCGGGCAGAGGCACATCGGGCTGGACTCCGGGCAGAGGCACATCGGGCTGGACTCCAGGCAGAGGCACATCGGGCTGGACTCCGGGCAGAGGCACATCGGGCTGGACTTCGGGCAGAGGCACATCGGGCTGGACTCCGGGCAGAGGCACACCGGGCAGAGGCACATCGGGCTGGACTCCGGGCAGAGGCACATCGGGCAGGACTCCGGGCAGAGGCACATCGGGCAGGTAGGTACAGGGGGAGCAAGTGGAGAATGGTCGGGGTCACAGGCCAGGTTCAGCAGGTAGCAAGCAGCGTAGTACAGAGGGTCAGGCAGAGGGATGGTCAGGGTCACAAGCCAGGGATCAGAACAGGTAGCAAGCAGCGTAGTACAGAGGGTCAGGCAGAGGGATGGTCAGGGTCACAAGCCAGGGATCAGAACAGGTAGCAAAGGAACAGAAACAGGATGCAGGACAGATACAGGGCCCAGACAAACACAACACCAAGGCAGAGTCTGCAAGTCTGGCCATCCCTTAAATACACCAGTATCATCAGTTCCAGGTGTTAGCTGGCTGAAAGGTTGAGTCTCTGATTGCTGGGAGCACCCGCTGGCCAGCCCTGGTACTGCAGATCAAAAGGCAGGTGAGTCCCACCATTGCTGGCCAGTCCATTCCTGACAGTATCACATTACATTCAGTGGAGCAGAGGGGAGACACGCATGGTCTTTTAGACCGTGGATGTCTCAAAGAGAACCTGTCACTAAAAATCATCACATAGGGGACTTTGTCCCCTATGTGGTGAAAAAAAAAAAGTGAAATTTAAAAAAATAAAAGTTACACCCAAGCACATACCATCCCCCCCCCCAAAAAAAAAATATTGAGGCCCCCACCCCCACATATACGCACTTACAAACGTAAAAGCGCACGCTGGGGCGCCTACGCATGAAACCGTCAATTGGGATACTCATGTCACGTATAGCTGCGCACACCAGGATGAGAGCGATAATTCTGGCACAAATTTAAGGTTTGACAAGTTGGATATCTATTTACTCGCTGCAACCTCATCTTTTATATTTTACAAAAAATAGGGTAATTTAATGCTTTTTTTATGCCCTAAAATTAACTTACTTGTATATTTTACTAAAATTTTGCGGTAAAATCATGCAACATAAATAATTGGAACTACCAATGTCTTATTCTCTAGGGTCTCTGCTTTCATAAAATATATAATGTGTGGTGGGTTTTATGTAATCTTCAGGCCTAAAATGATTTTTTAAACATGTGCAAAAGACGCAAAATGGGCTCTAGCAGCGAAAACGCAAAGATGACTCTGGCAGTGAAAGGGATAAAGTATAAGCCCTGACCCCCCCCCCCCCCCCCTTTCCTGACAAGCAGCCAATCGGTGCTCATTACACTGCAAGGTATCTCCCCTCCCTGCTAGTCCCCTGGTGTGGTGCTGGAGACAGGCAGGGAGGGAAGGAGGAGATGAAAAGCGCAATGTTAAAAATATTACACGTTTAAGTCGCAATAAAGCCCCTTTTGTTTTTAAAAGCCCCGACATTCCTAAAATCACCTCTGATTTAAATAAGGTTTTGGTTAAAAAAAAAAATTTCTCCCTGTAAGTACGTTGAAATGCTGGTTAGTGAGTTAGCTGCTGCCCCAGCTGGGAAGGAAACAATTAACTTGATTTCCCACACTTTAAGGGCTCATGTAAGTTTTTCATCATGAAAAATGCATGCAAAGCATTCTCAAGGTATTCAGATGGACAAAACACTGAACACAGGATGTTCCTACCAAGCTTGTCACACATTGTAATGACCAATTTACACCTCAAATCTCTCCCACCCTTGGAAACAAAAGATTTGTTAATGCCCATTCACACCTCAAATTCCTCATGAAGACCCCCTGCCAGGTGACCTTAATGACTCCCTTCTTACCTTTGGAAACAAAAGAAATGTTAATGAGAAACTCACACCTAAACTAATCTCAACACATACTGTTGTCTCTACTTCTAATCTCTGTATTTCTTTGAAACAGTCTGAAATAGTTAATAGTTTACCACTTTTTAGTGCATTCTGGGCATTTGGGAGGTTCTCCTGTGCTTATCTTTAAAAAATGCACATAAACGCACATAAACACGTTATGCAAACATGACTAAACAGACGTTTTTTAACCTACGTTTTCCAGTAGTCAGTTTCCATCGTTCAGAAGTGTCCCGTGTACATGGGGCCTTAGCTGAGCTCTGCCTTTCTTCCTGTGCTGCTAATAAAAGGGGGGAGGGCTCTGCCCAGACAGACAGTCTTCATGGGAAAGAAGGCACAGACAAACCACAGAATGTAATCTCTATCTGCTTACAAAGAATAGAGAAGACTGTTACTCTTGTTTTTTGGAATAACCACATTTCCCAGTAAAGCTTTTGAAACTTTGTCTTTTGCCTGGTCTGAAGTTACATTACTAAAGAGGTGTAATACAAGCAATTGTTCTGCACAGTCTACAGTGCAGATGTAAGATTTACCAGTGTGGAATACAAACTTGTGGTTTGGAGGTAATGGAGGTTTACCCAGAAGCCTGTCGTAAAGTGTGTACCCATGACAGGTGGGACAGCGTCTTGCTGTGGGAGAGTTGTTGTTGGCACTCTCTCCATGAGCGGTCCATCTCCCATAGCAATGGGAGCAGATCAGCGCTGCAGGGGTCCCAGGCCTGTGCACATGAACGAAGGGGATGAGCTAATGCAGAGCCTTGCTAGGTGCGCAGCATGGCCCCATTCCATTACTGGTAGTAAGGTAGCGGAGATATGCTAGACATGTGGATTGGACATAGGCTTATCATGTCCCTCCTGAATGCAATGAGTTACAGTGAAGATTTACATTGACACGGGGACAAGAGTGGTAACTGGAGGACAGTTTATTGTTTATTGTTCAGGTGTACCCGGTGTATGGCCTTCTCTAAAGTGGAGGTCTGTATTAAGGTTGAGTTATCCCTGAAAGCGACCCCTGGTCATTGGTGAGCATGACACAAAGTAAAGGTACCCCATGTGTAAGGCCAGCGATCCTGTCCTAGATACCTAGTGTAGCCCAGAAGAACCCACCCGGGGGTAGACCTCTCATGTGACCTACACTTAGTGCCCAATGAAAAGGGGAACATGGAGGGAATGTCACCCGCCTACCCTACATCCCTAAAGCGTTAAATTATTTCTGCTCCCTAAAGCGTTAAATTATTTCTGCTCAGAGACAGTAATACAGGTTGTCAAACACCAATTGAATGGCAGAGAGCACTTATTTCAGGCTTAGACGCTGTAATAAGAATCAAATGGATTTCCTAGGTTTTATCTTGCCAGTGGAATTGCAATATGTATCTATTGCCTTTCTGCAAATACTGCAGGAAAGATTTATTGTGGAGTATATAGAATTGGACAGTGGGTGGTATCAGCTGTTTTCACATACACCCAAAGAGGTACAAGGGGCCCAAATGGAAAGACTCTTTGTTTCAGTTTGATTTCTACAAATCCTAATCCCCCTTAATCCGCCATTATAATTGTGCATTTTGGGAGGTAATAACATAGAGGGCACAAAAGTTAAACCTCCTTGTTTTAATGAAAAGGGACTTAACACTGGTAAAATGACTTTTCTGTATTGCTGCCTTGGTATAATGCAAATCTGTGCCAAGATTCCTGTGGTAACCAACCTTGCCTTTTATATCATGAAAAGACGCAAAATAAAGAGAGATATTTTTCTGGATGAGGGCATTTTATCTCTCTTGGTAACCTTGTGATAATTGATGCTGAGAAATTTGGCTGTGAGGTAGGTAGTAGGTAAAAGATTGGGTGTTTCGTACGAAATACACACATTATATAATATATACACACTAACATTCATACTTGTAGCACCCACTATGGACATTTGATCAGCCAGATCCGGAACCAGGAGCCTACTGTATCATGAGCATTTGACGTTGGGTTACCTTCACCGTGTAGCTGGTAAACTTACTGCCATGATGAGACCTCCCAGGCCTGTTGTGAATGGCCATATGGCCAAACCTGCAGCAACCTCACAGTGGGTTTACCTAGTTCACCTACAATATATCTATACAGAGACTTAATGTGCACTATGCTTTGACAGGATGGTCTCACACTGCCGGACAGCAGAAGAACATTAAATGCTGTCTGACATATTAAAGTGGTTCTAAAGCAGTGGTTCTCAACCTTCCTAATGCCGTGACCCTTTAATACAGTTCCTCATGTTGTGGTGACCCCCAACCATAAAATTACTTTTGTTGCTACTTCATAACTGTATTTTGCAGTGAGAGGAGTAGTGCCACATCATTGGTGTCAGTGAGAGGAGTAGTGCCACATCACTGATGTCAGTGGGAGGAATAGTGTCCCATCGTTGGTATCAGTGGGAGGAATAGTGCCACATTGTTAGTGTCAGTGGGAGGAATAGTGCCCCATCATTGGTGTCAGTGGGGGGGGGGGGGGAATAGTGCCCCATCATTGATACTAGTGGGGGGGAATTGTGCCCCATCATTGGTGTCAGTGGGGGGGATAGTGCCCCATCGTTGGTTTCAGTGGGGGGAGGAATAGTGCCCCATCGTTGGTGTCAGTGGGGGGAGGAATAGTGCCCCATCGTTGGTGTCAGTGGGGGAGGAATAGTTCCCCATCGTTGGTTTCAGTAGGGGGGGGGGAAATAGTGCCCCATCATTGGTGTCAGTGGGAGGAATAGTGCCTCATCATTGGTATTAGTGACATCAATGATGGAGCACTATTCCTCCCATTGACACCAATGATACTTACCTTGCTGACTCCTGCTCCAGCCTGGGCTCGCTCCCTCCCTCTCCCATCTACAGCCAGCTTACCTGGCTGCAGCAGCACCATCTGCACGCTACAGACACTTACCTGTCAGCTGTCTTCCTTTTCCCTCGCTCGATCTTCTTTGATCTTCATGCTGCTGCTTGGCTCCTCCTCCTCGCAGGTGATTGGCCGCCAGTGTGCCTCTCCTGAGCTACAGTTCCGGCGGCCAATCACTGGCGAGGAGGCGGAGCTGTTGAGTGATCCCGGGCATGTGGCCAGATGACAGGGGCGGCATGTCATCCCGCGCACACATTGCGGTCCAGAGAAATGTGGACGTATCTACATGTGGGCGGACCTGCCTGGAGACTGATAGAGGAGCAGTGTCTCGGTTCCTAAGACCATCGGAAATATGTGTTTTCCGATGGTCTTAGGAGACCCCTGTGAAAGGGTTGTTCGACCCCCAAAGGGGTCGCGACCCACAGGTTGAGAACCGCTGTTCTAAAGGCTCAAGGTTTTTTACCTTCATGCATTCTATGCATCAAGGTAAAAAACCTTCTGTGTGCAACATCAGCCCCCCCCCCCCGAAATACTCACCAATTGCCCTCTCGATCCAGTGGTGTGCACTAGAGTCTTAGCTATCCTGGGACTCCCTATTCTACCTGGCTGAGTCAGAAACGGGAGACATTGGCTCCCACTGCTGTCA